GTTTGTTCTGGAGTAACTATGCTATTAATTGCAAAGACCTCCATAAAACCACCCATGGCCTTGCCTTTACAGTAAATAACTAAACGTTCAGTCAGTGTTTTTGCATATACAAAACACTACTAGGTATTTGTTCAATTGCACAATATTCATTTGCTGTGTGATTACTGTTTAGTGTAAGAAAAAAAAATTAAAAAAGAAAAAAAACAAACCACAAAAAAACCTTTTCCTAGTTGTTGTACCGTGAAAAACAAAAATACTGGTTTTAGATTTGCTTAAAAGCATCAATCTACAGTTAGTGAGATACAATGGTACAGTATGTAATTACAACTAGAATAAGTTGTTCAAATGGCTGTTTTAATTACATATAATCAAAACTTTTCATAACATGAGCAAATTGCATACACTCCATTTTAAGTTTTGCTTAACTGTTACCAGAGATTTGTTGATATGATATAAAAGTTTATTACTACTGAGTGTGTATAGGCAAGTGTCATGATAGCAAAGTTTATGTATTGATTACTGTGAGTTCAAGTGAGTGTTTTGGTAACTAATTCATGCAAATCCAGCTTTGGAACCTTGCAGTTACAAGGTTCATATTAATAAAAAATGAAATAAGAATATTTTATCCTTACCCCATAAAAACCTTTTCCATTTTCAAGGATCTTTAGAGAGAATGAATTAGAATAGTCTAAATAATTCTCCAACTTTTCCTCCAGCCACCCTACTCCTGACATAATATCGAGCCTTTGAAAAATACCTATAGGTATAAAGTCCTTCAACTAAAACGGTCCTTCATGAACTGTCATCATGAATTGGTCTGAAAGTTGTTTAACTCACATAGCTTCCTTGAATGGTAATTTCTGAATAGAAAGATTCTCACAAAAAGACTGTGTATTGCATTGAGATGTCTTGCAAAGTTGCAGTAAGATATGTAAGAGTGCTCTCTGTGAAGATAGTGAAGTTTGTGGGTTCTGGTTTTATGTAATTTGGTTAGGTTGTGCAGTATATCCATTGTTTCTGTGTTACTCTTATGAGCATGAAATTAGACTATTAAATTTGTATTTTCTTGGTACTTATTTTAACACCATAGTCATTGACTTTACAATTCAAAAATAAAAGTTTGGCAAGACTATTTTGTAAACCTGTTAATTTTATAATGTAAAAAATTACTCTAACCTTGAATTGTTATTTGCACTTTCATAGTCTATACTTGATACATTCCCACTTTATATACAAGTAGGATACTACAACCATGTAGATGTTTGGCCAAATGAATGCTGTTAATAATATGTAAAATTCTTTGATTAAACATTTATTACTTAAACTAATTCCGTTCTGTCTCATTACATCTTACACTTACTGTGGCAGATCCTTGAGACTGCTAACAGACATTTTTAGGGTGTGTTCAGTACTGTGCCAGATTAGTTGGACACGATATAGTAAGCTGAGTGTTTTGATTTGTAAATACAAAGTACCATCATTAAGCTTTGAAAAAAATCTAAAATAGAATTTGTCTTAATTGCTACAGCCATATTGTGCACTTGTTCTTTGTAGAGTAATGCCTTGTCACTACAAATAGTAGTGCTAAAGAGGGGGGACTAATTTTTGTGAAAGATTCTGTTAATTACTGTTACTTAAGTGCCACCTAATATCCACTCTCCATTGTTACCAAGAAATTCCACAGTGCCTCTGTTACATTAACAGCTCTAAACTATTTTGTTCATTGTAACAGTAATATTATCAACTTCCTCCAGCAAGCATACGAAGATCTTGGAATCACAGACTGGTTTGGGTTAGAAGGGACCTTAAAGACCATGTTGTTCCAATCCCCCTTCCATGCCCGGGCACACTTTTCACTAGACCCAGCTGCTCAGAGCTCTATCCAACCTGGCCTTGAACACTTCCAGTGATGGAGCATTCCCAGCTTCTCTGGGCAACCTGTTTCAGTGCCTCAGCACACTCACAGAAGGCATCCATCCCACTGTAATACTCAGGGAGGCTGGTAAGAATGGAATGTGGTCCAAAACATGGACCACAATGACAGCCATTTCTTTACAAGCAATTGTCTGGCTCAAGAGACAGCTTTAACATGCCTTGAAAGAACCAAGTACTCGTGGTCATTTTATGTAAACTCTGCCATTGCTCTACCTACCCATGTCCCTCATGAGGGCCAAAAACCAAAGACCTCACAAAATCCGGCGTGAATTCTTGGCTCTACTTACAAGTTTGAATGAGTAATTGTCTGCAAAGACAGATGCATGTTACTTATGCAAGTAATAACTGTGCAACACATCTCAAGAATAGCATCAATTGTGGCTCTGGGAATTAAGGGAATACAGGCTGCTTTTCTCACAAGAGAGCTGTTAAGTACAGAGCCTTAGAATAGAACTATGTGGAAATGCAGAGTGCACCAGTCCATCAGATTTATACCCAATTTCATGCATTTTCAACACAAATATTTCTGGAGAAGCCCTCCGTGTGCATTCTCTGCAGCTGACTGTGGAACAGTGACACACACAGAAAAATAAAGGATTCTTCAGCTGTGAGCCAGCTGACTGTAGGGATAGCAGTAAAAAGCTAGGAGGAAGCAATGCAATTAAATCCAATGCAGAACAATTTAACTACTGAAGCAGGAAATGAACAGTGTGTGCTGGTGTGCATCACTTCCAATAACAACCACTCTCACTGAGAGCTCCCAAGAAGAAACAGTTGTGTAGTGACAGCCAGTGTGTCTCTAACACTTCCCACTTCACAGGTGAATCCAACGTTTTATTTCCTCTACTTCTTTGTGGAGTCTGCATTGGAAGTTTCACAGAGCAGGGATGGGTTCTGATGACTCCAAGGGGCAGCCCTTTGTCTTATTGTGGTAAAAGTAAAATAAACTGGAAATAGACGTTAATTGGAAGAAAAGTTACCCTGCAACTTTAGCTGAACTTGCACAGCACAAAATCCCTCAGCTGCATCAAACAGAGCCAACCCACTCCAGCTCCAAAGAGAGGATAGTTCTGTTAAGGACAATCAGGGAACTGAAGAGGATGCTCAGAATTTGGGATCATTGTAAGGCTTGGGATCCTCTGGAGAGAGGGGTACTTTACTACACATGGCTTCAGAAAGTCTAAGGGGTCTTTCTGAAAGAAGCCAGGAGTCAGGAAGAGGTAGCACTAGAGTTGAAAAAAACTTGAAATTTTTATTTACTATCCATTAAAAACAGATCTTATAAATATTCACAAAATAAAAACCTTCACCAAGTATTCAATACTTATCTGGACAAAAATGGACATTGTCACTCATTTCTAGCCTATTTCTACACAACTAGTGAAGCTATGCCAACATGATGGCAGTGAGAGGGGCCCAGCAGTGGAAGACTGCTGAGGTGGATGGTTGGGAAAAAAAGCAGGCAGAAGTTGCAAAAAAAAATGGAAGGAAGAGCTGAAGGGCCCTGAGAGATTGCTGATCTGCAAAATATAGCTATGGAGAGATGCATTGAAAAAAGAGAAAACAAGAAAAATGTACCCGATAAGTATAAACAGCTTGAAAAGAGAGTAAATCAGGATTTAAATCAAAATTGAGGAATAAATTTGGCACCTGAGACAAGAGCGTCAAAATTGGTGTGAAAGAAGCATGCAAGAGGTTAAACATAGCTGTCCATGAGCCAGTACCAACCCAGGCACAGCCTGCATCCACTGCATGAGGGGAGCATCTGTTGATGCAAATTATGGCTATTTGTGTCCACTGAGAACAAGACAAAAATCAATTTCATTTGCACCAAAGAAGCTTTAAATAAACCCTAAGGATGGAAACTGAATATGGGAACTAAGAGACTGCAAATCCTCATACGTGACTGGACATTTCTTTTCATAATGCCCGAATAGAAAAACATCTACACAGGATGGCCTGGGGCCATGTGAGTGGCAGTAGGTGAGGAACCACTGTTAGGTCCATGGTTCATACATTTGGCTCTCAAAGCTTCACAAAGTGTTCATTCCCTGGCCTTTTAAACTACTTGATACATGACTAAGGTTCCATGCAAGAGGAGCATAGAATCATAGAGTGGTTTGTGTTTGAAGGGGACCTTGAAGATCATCTAGTTCTAACCATCCATGCCATGGGCAAGGTCACCTTCCATTAGACCAGGTTGTTCAGAGCCCCACCCAACCTGACCTTGAACACTTCCAGAGATGGGACATCCACAACTTCTCTGGCAGCCTGTTCCAGTGCCTCACCACTTTCAAAGCAAAGGATTTTTTTCCAAGTATTTAATCTAAATGAAGGCCAAAACTGCCGTATATTGAGGGTAAGATCCACCAACACTTTCTCCTGAATCAGGACAATCGTTGCAGTCCATCTCCTCTCCCCTTCTTTTCTGTTGAGCCAGAAGAGTGACAGCACCTGGCATACCCTGCAAACAGGAACACAACCAGAGGCAGCTTCTGCTGCACAGAATCACAGCATGTTAAGGGCTGGAAGCTACCATCTAGTCCCAACCCCTTGCCTTGAGCAGGGACACCTCCTACTAGACGAGGTTACTCAAGGCCTTACCCAGCGTGGTTTTGAACACTGCTAGGGCTGGGGAATCCATGGCCTCCCTGGGCAACCTATTTCAGTATCTCACCACCTTCACAGTAGAAAATTTCTTCCTAATATCTAATCTAAATGCTCCGTCTTACAATTTGCACCCATTCCCCCCTGTCCTGTCACTGGCAGAGTCCCTCTCTGGCTTCCCTGTAGGCTCCCTTCAGATCCTGGAAGGTGCTGCGAGGTCTCCACACGACCTTCTCCAGGCTGACCAGCCCCAGCTGCACCCACCGGGCCTCCCCCCTCGCCGGGACTGAGGGGACACCGTTCTCGGTGCCACGGCTCCGGCCGAGGCGAGAGCAGCCCCTGCGAGGGCCGGGGCCCGTTTGTCCCCGGGGCCGGGGCGGCCGCCAGCAGAGGGCAGGCCCGGCCCCGCCGCTCCCGGCCCCGCCGCAGCCACATCCGCCGCCGCCGGGAAGGGGCCGGCGCCGGGGCCGCTGCGGGCTCCGCTCTCCCGCCGCTCGCTGTCGGGCCCGCGGGCCCCGCGCCGGGCTCAGGATGCCGCTGGGGCTGAAGCCCACCTGCAGCGTGTGCCGCAGCACGTCCTCTTCCATGTGGAAGAAGGGCGGGCAGGGCGAGATCCTGTGCAACAACTGCACGGCCCGCTCGGCGCCGCCGCCCCCCGCCGCCTTCGCCACCACCTCGGCCGCCGCCCAGCACAGCAACGGCGGCGGCGGCAGCGGCGGAGGCGGCGGCGGCAAGCAGGTGAGGAGGCCGAGGGTGAGGGGGATGGAGCCGCCGGGGCCGGGCGGGGCTGGGCGGGGCTGGGGCCGGAGTGTTCGGGCCGTCCCCCTTGCATCCATCCTGTCGTTCCCCACAGAGCAAGCAGGAGATCCATCGCCGCTCCGCGCGGCTCAGGAACACCAAGTACAAGTCTGCGCCCGCCGCGGAGAAGAAGGTTTCCACGAAGGGCAAGGGCAGGAGGCACATCTTCAAGCTAAAAAACGTAAGGCGGTGCGTGGCAGAGCGCCGGGGCCGCGGGCGGGTCGGGAGCTGTGCCGGGCTGGGGCGGGCACGTAGCCCGCGGGAAGAGTGGGAAGAGAAATCGGTCATGGGTGTTCAGCACTCGCTGCTTCACACAGAATCCTGGAGATGAAAACGTCAGCTGTTGCTTTAAGCTTTAAAGTAATAATGTTCTCTGGTTTTCTTTGAAGATAATGTCTGTATGTTGTCTAAAAGAAAAAACGGTTTCTGGAACTTTAAGGTTGATTTGTTCTAATGCTCTTGATTTTCGATTCTATGTTCTTTTCTTAGCCCATCAAGGCTCCTGAGTCCGTATCCACTATAATTACAGCAGAATCAATCTTTTATAAGGTATGGTTTATGCAAATCTATTTGCAAAAATTATTATCCTGTTTCTGTTTCCAGTTTCAGGAATTATCATGGAGAGTGAAAGCACTAGGGATATAGTCACAAAAACTGTTCTTCCTTGCCTAACAATTGTGTAGGATTTTGGTTTGCCATAGTTATTGCCATTAAGTCTTGCAAGGTAGTTTACCTAAGTAGTTTAAATAGTTATCATTGTCCCAGGTTTTTCTCTTCCAAAAAAAAAAAAGCATCTAATTTTTTTTTTGTAATCAGTGCTGTCAGCATTTTCAAACTTAACTTGCACTCTGCAGAAGTCAAGTGACTGGAGATGATCATTTAGATTTGTGTGAGGTTTCCTACCTTAGATGCAGAACATATTTCCCATAAAGGGGTGGGATGCAGTGCCCCAACATCTCAGCTGGCTCCCATTTGAGAGCTGATGAAAGCAGTCTCAAACACCCTGGGACCAAGATCTGTTGGCACTTGCAGTGAAGCACGAGGGAGCCTTCTCACATTCATGCTTGAGAGCAGCTTTATCAGCATGCCAAGGTGTTGGTGTTCTAAAGTTCTGAAATTTGTTTTTGTTTCCCAGCAGTGCAAGCAAATAGAATGTTTTTCCCCCTTTCCCCACAAAAAAAAAAGTCAAGATAGGCAGTGGGGGACTGCACAGCCAGTGGTGACCTGAGATTCCATAAACCCTCCAGGGACCTGATGCTTCATGCCTGGCATTCCAGATGAATCTCTTGTTTGCCGTTGACCAGTTCAGAAAATAATTACTGTCTTGTGTCTTTGTTTTGATCAGAAGTTCCTAAGAATTATATCAAAACTTCTATCTAACCTCCTTATGTAAAATGCTTCTGCTTTGATACTTCGCAGTATTGTAAATAGGATTGTTTGGAGTTTTTTGTGTTCTTTTTATCTGTTTTGAGAACAAACACCTTTCTTTCTTATGCCACCATTCTTTTGCATGTGGCTGAATTGGGGCTGCCTTTCAAGACTGGCATAATTTAGGATAATTTATGGTACTGATACTTAAGATATGAAGCAGAATGTGAGGTGAAGCTGACAAAATCAGGCTTTTTGATTTCAGTGTCATTGACATGTCTTCTAGGGTGTATACTACCAAATTGGAGATGTTGTTTCCGTGGTTGATGAGCAAGATGGAAGAACATACTATGCTCAGATCCGTGGGTTTATTCAGGACCAATACTGTGAAAAGAGTGCTGCACTAACCTGGCTCATTCCTACACAAGCCAGCCCCAAAGACTGTTTTGACCCAGCATCCTATATCATAGGTAATCTCTAAGCCTTCACTTCATTCAGCTGCTTGGACGTGCCTACACTACTGTAGAGTTGTATTCTTTTAAATTAACATTTTAGCTTCTCAAGGTGTTTTATGCAAGTTCCACATTTTAAACTCTAAGCTTGTAAACATCTCATTTACTGTAATAACACTATTTATTTATCTTGTGTATATAATATGATTACCACTATTGCAGCGTGTGATTATCTCGCACTGTGGTATCTGAGTGTTTGTGGGGACAATTACAGTTGTGCAGCTTTAAAGATCAAATTACTGCTCTATAGATAGGTTTACACCATAGTAACTGATTCTGATACACAAGTCCAAGTTGTTTGTTTTAAAGTGACCTGAATTATTTGATCTTTATCCTGGGTATTCAAAATGCATCATGCACCATGCAAGCACTGGCATAGAGACTGTTCTGCTACTGATGATAGAATTAATAATTCAGAAAAGTCCTTCTGACATGCAGGACACAAATAGAATGTATTTTAAATATATTAACTACAGTACTTCACTCAAATACCAAAATGCTTCAAATGGGGTGGGGCAGGGGGAAAAATCAGCCCAGCAAAATTAGAGGTAGAGGTTTCTTGCCTAATACAGGAGGCTACTCTCCTAGGAAAGTCATGGATTGCAAAGACAAATTCTGTATGGGAATGTTGGCTGTTGTGGCATATTTTTATTCAACATATGTAATTTTATTCCTTTAAGTTTTGTCTTTGAAGATGTATTTTTTTTCCCCTAGGACCAGAAGAAGATCTCCCAAGGAAAATGGAATATTTAGAATTTGTTTGTCATGCACCTTCGGAATATTTCAAATCTCGATCATCTCCCTTCCCTACTGTTCCTACAAGGCCAGAGAAGGGCTATATATGGACTCATGTGGGACCTACTCCTGCAATCTCCATTAAAGAAACTGTAGCCAATAACTTATAATTTTTTTAAAGAAATACTTTGGACTAGTTCTTTTGGGTGTATCCTCCAGTTTGTAAACCTTATACAAGAAGTTTTAAAAATTATAAAATGTGCTAGTTTACCTTATGGATTATGGTATTTATTTTAGCTATATCAGATCTTTGAAGTTTTCATTCCAGTTGATGCATCATTTCACTGCTCTGTTCTTCAGACATTATTGCTCATCTTGGGACAAAACCACAAGTTTCATGTTGTCTTTGACTTCAGAAAGTTGCCTGTAGTGTTCATTCTTATTTTTTATTTTCCAGAAGAGGAGTTTGAAAGACATAATCATCCAGCATTTTATGTAACTGCTTAATTTAGTTAAATGTAACTCTTGGTTTTATTTCTTTGTTAAATAATTTAAGACCAGCTTCACCTAAATACTACAATGGTCAGTGATGCAGTTAACAGTTTTCTGTTACGTGAAGAGGAGTGATCTACCTGGATTTCTCCAGACTAAAACATTATCTCCAAAGAGGAACTCTTAACAGTCACCTTTTAAGGGAATTTTGTTCATCTAAATCTGAATGTGGGCCTATGTAACTATGTGTAGCTTTCTGCTAAACGTAGTTATATAAGGGCATAAATTTCCTGGAAGATTGGATGCAAATTCAAAAAGTAATGTTATTTGCCATCATGGCATCTTCCTAGCAGAAGTGTATCTGCATTTCCTGAGGAGGCCAACACTGATTGTTAATATTTGTTTGCCTGTTAGACTGGACTCATAAAATTGATTTTAAATTGTTTTTTCAGTCTTCACAATTAATGATGGTAAGAAAAAAAATGGTCAGGCAATTCAAATGAAAAAAAATCAGTAAGAGAAATAAAAACTAATTTTATGTATTGACAGTCTCAGCATAACAAGGAAAATGTTTAAATTGCAGAATGGGAGAAGTGCCACATACTAAAATACCAATGAAGTTTTCTGCCCTAAACGTTTTACAAGCCAGTCAGCTCCAAACATATTGAGATGTGCTAGTATGGCCTGAGTTTCAAGGGCTTAGTGGTTCCTGCTGCCTGTGAAGGATAAGAGCTGTAAGTGACCTTAAAAGTACAGATCTTTTCCATTTTTTTTCTTTGTATGAACATATGTGACCAGCACCCAGAAGGCCCAAATCACCTTTAAGATATTGTATGAAAGCATAAAAATGTTGAACTAGGCTTATGTTCTAACTTTATGAAAGGCTTTGATTTAAGATGTAACATATTTAAAAGTCTCAAATATTGACAACCTTTAATACAGTGGGACCTGTGAGGGCAGGAACTAAATAGATTTGTTTGGGCCTGCAGCTTCTGCTCTGCCATCTTCAAATACAAGGAAGAACAATCAGCCTTAAGGCAATAGATGCTAAAGTTAAAGGATACTGTCAATAATTCAAAAAGCTCAGAAATTAGCAGTAGATTGCTAATACAGAGTTAAATCTTAATCTTCAGTTGTTTACAAAGATGAGATATGTGCCCATGTTCAGTGGTTGCAGTTATTAATCCCAAGGTGACCTCACTTCTCTCCATTCTGTCCTTTCAATTCATCTGGGTTTTTTTTTCTTATTTCTTTATTACAAGAAAATAAAAATAACAAGACTTATATTTACAATAACCAGAGTGACTCCCTTGACTCAAATGTTTTCCTTCCTTTCTCTGCAGTCCACAAGATTTTCACTTGGGATCACTGTGAAGTCTCCCTGTGCTGCCTCAGCATAATCCATGGACCTGTTCTCTTCTGTAGGCTGTCTTACCTTATCTGAATTACCAGGGCTGGAAAAGACCTTGATGGTCCTTGAGTCCCATGAAGCTTAGTTGCTTTCCTTGTCAAATCCTCATAGGAATAAGGAGGAAAACAGTGTTTGTATTATTTGGTTTTTTGAGTTCCTACAAGGGTACACCAAATGAAAAGTACTTTTTGCCATTTGTCTTACTTGTCAATAAATTGTAATATAAAAGGGACAATTCGTTTTTCATCAGAATACACCTTTCTAAAATTCAGTGCTGCTGGTGCTTTGAGTGTTATACTTCAACCTACAGTCTAAATTGACAAAAATAGCTTTTTTTCAGAGAGCTATGTAATAACTTCCTTTAGTAATCACTACTTTTATTTTTGTTTTTATTATACTGGGAAATGTTAAAAAATCATTCAAATGAGCAAGAATTCTGATTGTAAGGTCTCAAAAGAGAGTGAATCTGCAGGCAATGACTGTTACTAAAGTGTTACTACTGCATTTATAGGGATTTGAATAGTTGCACTGTCCTGTTTTTCTTGTGTTCAGTAACACAGGGAAAATGACTGACTCTCCAGACAGCTTCTTATGGATGGACATAGTTAAAGAGTGGAACCTCCCAGAGTAGTGTCTCTGAAATTTCCTCATCTCTCTCATATTAGGAAAATGGAGGACAAAACGAAGAGACATGCAAAATAGATTCAAGAGTAGAAGGGATATCAGAGGATCCTGTAGGGACAGGCTTTGATGCCCTGCAGGTGAGGGAGCTGAGCTCACCCATTTCTGTCTTCTAGCTTGGTAATCCCCCATGCCAAAATGTAGGTAGGTTTCATATTTGCATCACTGGACTGTGAGTGGATACACTGCTACTGAATTTTTGGTCTTGTGTTGAGCTCCAGAGTTTTGTGACCAGGCAACAGTAATTTTCATCAAGGCATTTTAGTGCTAGAGATGGAACTTGTAGCCAAGAGCTAAAAGCCACAGAGCATATATAAAACACTGAGTACCACATGGACATGTGGCCTGTGCCCCAAGGCACATTTCAGGAGATCTGGGGGAGGAGTAGCCCTTACCTTTCACGTGAAGGTTGCCATACCAAAGCAATACATACTGGAGAAGGGTTTCCATTTGGGCAATGACTTTGTTGGGAGCAGAATACTTTCTGGGAAAACGTGATGAAATGGATAAATAAGTGTCTGGCTCCTTGGGCTCCTAAAATGAGGCTGGAGTTCCTCTTGTGCTGCTGTGCTGTGCTACATGACAATCATCTCAGTCATCCTGGCAGAGGCTGGATTAGGCCCCTTCAGCTTGGTATCCAAGCCAATCCAATAGCTTTGCTTTCATGTAATGCAGCCTTCAATCTTAATATTATACAAGAAGCAAAGAGTACCTTTATTGTGGTTGGTGCTATATTGTGTATTATGATTAATAAAGGCCTTAAATAGTCTTACAGAACTGAGAACAAAAATATTAATATTTTTGCTCTTTACAGTTACTGAATTAGAAAGACAAATTATAATTTTATTCTATTTTCACACAGATAGAATTGGTACATCTGTTAGCTAGGAGACTACGTCCCTCCAAAATTATGGAATATTATGTGTCCAAGCAGAAATACTTTTACAATAGTTAATAGTTGTTAATAGTTCTTCTTGTGTGCTCCCCACTACAGAACCTTGTGATCACTGACAACAGAATTTTGTATTTGGCAATTGTTTCTCTTTCACCCACACAGTCACGCTTACCTTCAGGAAGACTACATTATTTATTTTTTTTTTTTTTTTACTCAGCCCTTCTAGTTGGTGATTTTTTATTCTTTGAATTTGGCTTACAGCTTCAGTGAGATTATTTTCTTTTTAGTTTGGTAGCTTCAATCACAAAAACAACTTCATGGATAATATCTCCAGGTTGTTCATGCATCTTAATGAAATGCTTAAGTGCTTTGATGTCTATTTAATAGAACAGAAGTATTATTGGAATCTACTTTTGCTAGAAAGGTTGTTTTAACCTGAAAATATCAAGATTATCCGGTACAGGGCATTTAGACTCAGAACAGCTAACCCAGGCACCTGCTTACATAATGGCAATTTGGGCTCCTGCACCATCTTTTGAACTCCTTCATTTAGAATAGAGCAGGAGTGTCCCTCTATTCTCATGAAGCTGTCTAGGGGCAAAGTTGCTTTCAGTAGTTCCACCTGTCTTCCTACACTCCATCAGCATCCATGGACACTTCTTTGCTGAATACTGTCACACCTCTCTGCCTTCATCAGTGTCAAGTTCCCTGTTGTAAACTGGCTCTGTCAACTGATCCAGGTTCAAAACACACACGCAATACTTCTTCTCTTAACACAAATCTTCCTCTAGGGGACTTCTGGAGGAGTTTTTGTCTTCAGATGGTCAAACCCTTGATAATCCTTTTCAGTGTACATAGAATCCTACACACAATGTTCCCTTTCTTTCCAATTAGGTTACTTTTGTATAAAATTACACTGTAAGGCTGCTTGTGGTAGTGAATCTAAATTATGTAAGCAGAACTTGAGAACCTCTCCTCTCCCAAGCCTAGATTTCAGTAGATCATTAAGAATTAAAACAAAGATTAATCTCTCCTTTTAATCCATGTGCCCTTCTCAAGTATCCATTTCCAAAATTCTGGGAATCCACATACAGAATTTTCCAGTTACCTCTCCTTAAGGAGTTTCTTGGGGCATTCTTTGGGCTCTTTTTCTAAACTGTGTCATAACAGACCACTGCAAGACAAGGTAAAAGAATTGTCTTTTCTTTATGAGAAGCCGATTGCAAACTGTGGAGGAAATGGAAGTAGCTTCAGCATTTATTGTTGGCCAAAACAAAACCAAAAGCAACCACTTCATGCTTGCAGAGTTTGCAGAGCCTGACTATGGCTTAATTGCTCCCTTGATAAATGGAAATGATATGTTGAAAGTTAACATATCCATATATGGCTATACAAAGGAATAAATACTGGGACAATGCCAGGGACACATATTGCAATGTACTTCCTTGGTGGGCTTTCTAGTCAAACTTAATTCAGCAGCTCCTGAGTAAGTTGAGACCATCAGGAAAGAAGTGTCCACCTCAGCTTTTAGTGACCAGCAATATTTTTGATACAAAGGTCAAAGGTAGAAAAAAGTAAAAATGCGTCTTCTAGAAAATTACTGGAAAAATCAGTGCAAGATCTGGGGAAAATATATTTTTAAAAATTCTCCTGTCAATTTGGTTTTCCTCACTCACATTCCTGCCATAAAGGAGTGGCATGTAGGACAGGCTGTTTGTTTCTGATGTCCCCAGTTCTGCTCTATGTTTTTAGATGCAGTGGGATGTAAGCAGCACATAACATTTAACAGCACGCGTGCAGGAACAGCAGGGGATTTTTAGAAAGAATGCTTTCTGAAGTCTCCCTTTCTGTTTCTTCTTTAATAATTTCTAACATTCAAATTTCTCATAACAGGCTGATGTTTAATGGGGGATCATCACTGAGGAGTAACAAGCACTAGGCTCCATCACATTATTTTTTCTTTCCTTTAACAAGACATTTCATCTGCCAAGTACAGTTGAGTTTTGTGGA